CACTGATGTTGCAATTGCTTTCACCTTGCACACTGCTCTGTCTCACCTGGAAAACAAAAACACATATGTGAGAATGCTGTTTGTGGACTACAGCTCAGCATTCAACACCATAGTGACTGCCAAGCTGGTGATGAAGCTCCAGGCTCTGGGTCTACACGGCTCTCTGTGCAGCTGGATCCTGGACTTCCTCTCAAGCAGATGCCAGGTGGTCAGAATGGACAACATTACATCATGCACACTGATCCTCAACACTGGTGCTCTACAGGGCTGTGTTCTCAGCCCACTCCTGTACTCCCTGTACACACACGACTGTACAGACAAACACAGCTCCAACATCATCGTTAAATTTGCTGATGACACAATGGTGGTGGGCCTAATCACAGATAATGATGAGATGGCTAACAGAAAGGAGGTGCAAACTCTGACGCAGTGGTGTCAGCAAAAACATTTCTCACTCAACATCAGCAAAACCAAGGAGCTGGTGGTGGATTTCAGGAGAGAGAAGAGAGAACACACCCCCATCACAATCAATGGGACACCAGTGGAGAGCACTTTCAAGTTGCTTGGAGTCCACATCCCTGAGGATTTGACATGGACTGCTCACACAGACGCAGTGCTGAGGAAGGCAAAACAACGGCTCTTCTTTCTCAGGCATCTTAAGAGGTTTGGAATAAGCCCCCACATCCTCTGCTCATTCTAAACCTGCACTGTGGAGAGCATCCTGTCTGGCTGTATCACCACCTGGTATGGAAATAGCACCAGCAGCAATCACAAAGGCCTACATAGGACATGTAGTAGGAGGTGAGCTTCCCTCCCTCCAGGACATCTACACCAGGCGGTGCATGAGGAAAGCCAAGAGAATTATCAGCGACTCCAGCCACCCAAGTCATAGACTTTTCTCTCTGCTACCCTCAGGCTGATGGTTTCATGCACAAGCCGGCTCAAAGAAAGTTTCTTCCCTCACACTATCAGGCTGATGAACACTTAACACACCCTACACAGACTCTTCCACACCCCTCACTGCACAACATCAATATGTAGCATGCACTGCACTTTAATCAATCCATACTTAAAACAATACTGCCTACAACTATATGAACTCCTATTCATTGTACATATCGCTGTCAATTTTACATTGTCCTGTTTTTTTTTTTTTTTTTTTGAGGAGTATGCTGTTTTATTTTGCACTGTCGTTGTATTTGCACTGTCTGGAGCCAGCACCTAAGCTTTTCACTAATCATAGCACACTGGTGCTGATGATGCGACAATAAAAGTGATTTGATTTGATTTAAACAAGCTTATAAACTGTTAGATGCATAATTCCAATAATAAAACAAAGTTTTATCATTACCCCCACCTAAGTGCCTTTTTTGCCAGTTATACAATATTTACTTTAGATCAAGTGTTGCACTGTTGCATCTCAATAGGTACACAAACGCTCAAAGACCTTATTAGCTTTATCAAGCATAATGAAGGAGAAAACTGCCAGCTGTGTAAACAGGCTGTGATCGCCACTGAAGAACACCTACAAAAAGAGGCATTTTAAATATGCAGTGCACTTTAAAGACGGCGATTTTGGGCGAGTATCTCCTGACTTTACAACTTAATTAATTCCACCAATAGTTGTATTACAAATGATTGACCTTTTGTTTTTTCAAACTACCATGTCTTTGTGACAGAAGTGTTCAAATAAAAAGAAGTCACTAGCAGTGTTTTAAGTGTGACAGGATTTTGGCGAACTGCATTTGAAGACCATCTACAGAAACATGGTAAGAGCTTAAGGTGTTGGTTCATGTTTATTATTAGTTATAAAGTAGCAAAAAAAAATTAAGTTGTAACCTATTATTACTTAAACCTATTTTGCAGGTTTCACAGTAACACCTTTTAAATACCTGTCAAAGACAAGTGCATATTTGTATTTTGGTTTAATAATATTTGACATATTTTTTGCTGCAATATTTAAGATAAATTGTCACTTAGATGGCAATTAACCTACATTTCCTGCAACTCTGGTGGGACTCGAACCCACAACCTTTGAATGCCTCCATTCACAGCCTAGAAGTCCAATGCTCTATCCATTGCACCACAGAGCCACAATGTTTTGTTTGTTGTAGCACTGTTCCACAGGAAGCATTTTCTGGTACTCTCAAGCCCATCAAAAGAGCAATGACTGCAGACAAGGCACTGCTGGGATTCGACCCCAAGATCTCCTGTTTGCTAGGCAGGCACTTTGACCAACTAGGCAACAGCGCTGAAAAGAATGGTCGACTGTCAAGCTGCTTTTATATAGCTCTGAGGGAGGTAGTATTTCAACTTTGAGCACCTCGATTTCTAAGCCTGAACTCCAGTGTGCTACCAATTGTGCCACTGAGTGATAAACAGCTGTCATACGAAAGCCTTTTACCTGTGCCCTGCATTTCCGTCTTCGGGTTTTGCTCAGATGCATGCTGTTGGCCATCAAAATGTTTCAAATGTGTTAAAGTTAAATTGAAAACATAAGGTCTATGTATCTGAGGAATAGGCACTGCTGGGATTTGAACCCAGGATCTCCTGTTTACTAGACATGCACTTTGACCAACTAAGAAACAGCAGCTGATGATGATAAGAGGGGCCAATTGATTGTATGAAAAAAGAAAAGGAAAACCATACAGCGGTAGCGCTGCATGTGTAAATGTCTCAACTTGAAATATTGAGTTCCAATTCGTTACACATTACCACACCATGCAATATAAAGCGTTTTTAAGGATTTTAATTTTGTTAAGAAACCGACTGCTAAAGAGATGCTGCGTAAAAACTCACAATTCTTCAGAAGAAGCATCTCTGAGACGTGAGCATTAGACTTCTGGGATTTGAACCCTGGATCTCCTGTTTACAAGACAGGTGCTTTGACCAGCTAAGCCACAGCGCCACAACAGCACAACATACTTCTAACACACTTGATGAAGACAAGCGTGTGATGAACTTGGGTTCTTTTATTCAGCCCGCGTAGTTATCTGATACTGATATCGCTAGAGCTCCGTACACAACAACAGTGCTACTTCTATACATTACGAAAGCTAATCCTATTTCTTTTCCTTTTTCTCAGGTCTGCCCCTGCGGGTATTCTTCACAGAGCTACTGCTGCCTGCCGGACACTCATTGCATCGGTGTAAGTATACAAATACTTTACATGCACTGGCCCAATAATTTAACATATTAAACAGTTATTAAAGACATCTAACAAAAAAAAAAAAAAAAGCATTATTTGGGTGGGGTGCTAGCTTTTGATACAAAATTTACCAGTATTTTGTAGTTTTCCCCACACACTTGTCTGATAAAAAAAAAGATCAAGAAAAAAACAAAACAACAGCAAAAACCAGCACATCAGGATGCAGAAAATGCTGACAAGATGAACGTAGTCTTTTAGAGTCTGGAGGATTATGTCTCAAACATGACAGGTGTGCTTGCCTCTGTTCAAGATCAAAGCAAAAAATGAGTTTACTTACTTTAGTTTAAAGTATCCTTATTCATGTGTTAAGTGTTTTTTTGTAAGCTCTATTTATATTACATCCAATCCCAGCACTTAGCTGTAATATCTGAGTCGACAGCATCCAACAGAACGAAAAAGCATAATGCGTTGGGCAGCCTCCTGAAAGAGCAACGTGTTGTTTTGCAAGGACATGGAAGAAAAAGCCCATGAAGTCAGACTCCAGTGGGACTCAAGCCAACAACCTTTGAATGCCTCCGTTTTAAGCCTAGAAGTCCATTGTGCCACAGAGCCACATAAAGTGATGTTTTGAGTTCCTATTGTAGGGGCAGCACATCGACCGCAACAGTGGTACAAAACTTCTGGGGCCTCATGTACGAAGACTTGCGTGGAAATCTTACTAAAACATTGCATACGCACAAACCTGTAAATGTGCGTACGCAGAAAAAAATTCAGATGTATGAAACACTGCGTACGCTGAATCTCACGCATATTATTTTGTACATCTGAATAAACGTGAAACTGAGCTCAACATGCACGAGCACAAAACCCCTCCCTGCCTCCTCCCCCGTATGAATATGCTAATGACTCTACTTTGGCAAAACCAAACAAAAAAGCAATGGCAAAAGCAAGCAAAAAGAGAAACTTTGAACAGAATGTGAATTGGAGGTGCTGCTTTCGAAGGTAGACCGGAGAAATGCGGTGTTATTTGCAAGTTTGTCCTCCGGAATTAAAAACAAAAGAAAAAAAATAGAGTAGGAGAGTTTAGCTGATGCGGTTAACACAGTTGGGTCTGAACATCGCATCATCGAGTGTATTTAAAAAGAAATAGTGTGATTTATAGGTGTAAAATGTTGCAGCACCCATGATAGTCTCAGTGGCGCGCTCGTAAGACGCATGTCAACATGTTTTGACACGTTCGAGCATGAACTCGGTTCGAATCCAGCGTCTGATGAACTCTTTCTTCTTTTTTCCCCCGCTACATATCAGATTTTGCCAACTATTTATCACGAGAAAGACAAGTAGGAATCATTAATAAGTTTGTGCATCATATTTTATTTGCACATTTATTGAATGGAAATGTTTCTGATTCACGTATGAAAATTCATCTTCAGATAGTGTCTTTATAGCAATGTGCGTGCAGTAGATAGCTCAGATTTCATTGGGAAAACAGGCGACCGCTGCAAATTGTGCTTTAATGTTTAGCTGCTCAACTGTATGGTATGGAAACCTTATATACCTGCTAGATGAACCCTTCTCATACAGCTGCCATTGCAAGGCTCAGACACTTTGTAGAGATAAATTTAACACAACTGCCTCTAGGAGTCACCAATGGAAATAAAACAGACACGCACATGAAATGTGGGTACGCCAGCCATAAAGCTGGCGTGGAGCTGCACCCATTCCCACGTTCAGTTCATCGTTAGTAAATCCAAACGTGAGTAATTCTGAGCATGAAACCTGGCGTCGCAGCGTTGATGGCCCTAGTGTCCAATCATGCCCAGTACAAGAACCGCACTCTGAGTTGGCAAAGAGGAACTGCTGGGATTCGAACTCAAGACCTCCTGTTTACAAGACAGGAACTTTAACTAACTAAGCCACAGCACCAGGTTCAAAATTACTCTGATGGGTAGCATGAAAAGTCTAAAAACAGGCAGACTGTCCCCTCGGAAAAGTAGCCACCTAGACATCCAATGAGCTGTCCGTTGCACCACAGAGCCATAAAACACCATCTTTCGAGGCCCTATGGTGTGCAGAACCATTTAGCAATCTGGCTTTTGTGCAAACAAATGCTATTGGCCATGCAAAGAGTTTTACATCATAAAGCCACTCTCTCATAATCTGAGGTAAAGGTGCAGTTTGGATTAAAACCTTGGACCTGCTGTTCCCGAGACAGGTGCTCTGGCCAACTCAGTCTCAGCAAAAGAAAAAAAAAAACCTCTGGATACAATATTTTTAGACACAGTCTCATCTAAGACAGTGGGGAAAAAGCAGTATGTACTGTGCTTTCCACTCAGTTACTTTGCACATTCATAAAGAGGCTCTTGTACGACAAATCCGAAAGGTTTGATCTCCTAAATAGGTGGTAGCCACTTTGGCCCAAAATCACAGGTTGTCTTTGAGTCATTCCTCAAGTCTACTCGGCTCTGCACCTTTTTCTAATCTCCCTTGTTTAAAACAGCTCAATTAAGTCGTAAGCGTCATTATAGAGTCACTAGTAGCTGAGCCTGCACTGTGCAATGAAAGAAAGAAGCAAAGCGGGATAGACAAACGCCTAAAATGTTGGAAACACCTCACAACTGAGTCAGTGAAGAAAAATGACATTGACTGCGACTCTGGTGGAACTCAAGCACACAATCTTGCAATGCCTCCGTTGACAGCCTAGAAATCCAATCATCTATCTATCATGCCGCAGAGCCACAATGTTCTGCTTGCTTTAGCACTGTTCCACAAGAAGCACTTTCTGGTACTCTATAGCCTATAAAAGGAGCAATGACTGCAGACAAGGCACTGCTGGGATTCTAACCCAAGATCTCCTGTTTGCTAGGCAGCCACTTTGACCAACTAGGCAACAGCGCTGAAAAGAATGGTCGACCAACTAACCAACTAACTTTGACCAACTAAGCCACAGTGCCAGGCACTGGAAAGTGTGGTCGACTGTCAATCTGCTTTTATATAGCTCTGAGGGAGGTAGCATTTCTACTTTGAGCGCCTTGATTTCTTAGCCTAAACTCCAGTGTGCTACCAATTGTGCCACTGAGTGATTAACAGGTGTCATTCAAAAGCCTCTTACCTGTGCCCTGCATTTCAGTCTTCAGGTTTTGCTCAGATGCATGCTGTTAGCCATTAAAAATGTTTCATATGAGCAAAATTTAAATTGAAAACATATGGCCTACGTATCTGGCAAAAGGCACTGCTGGGATTTGAACCCAGGATCTCCTGTTTACGAGACAGGCGCTTTGACCAACTAAGCCACAGCGCCAGTTGGTGATAAGACAGACCAATTGTTTATACAAAAGAAGAAAATGAAAACCATACAGCGTTAGCGCTGCATGTGTGAACGTCTCAACTTGAAAAATGTATGCATTACCACACCATGCTATATAAAGTCATTGTTTAAAGACCTCTTGAACGAGCAATGTTTTGAGTATTGTTAAGAAACCGGCTGCTAAACAGTTTGCTGCATAAACACTCGCAATTCTTTCAACACATCATCTCTGGGACATGAGCATCAGGCACTGTTGGGACTTGAACCCAGGATCTTCTGTTTAAATGACAGGCACTTTGACCAACTAAGCCACAGCACCACCGCTGCAGATCAGGGATATCATTTCACAAAGAGCCTAACAAAAGACAGCATGTCTTGAAGTGACCACAAAAGAGGTCATTTAACTCAATTTGTTGCTCTATTCATTACGCCTCAAAGTTATGTCATTTCATTTAACTCTCTGACAGAAGTACAACCACCAGCTGCCCAAAGGCACTGCTAGGATTTGAACTCAAGATCTCCTGTTTACAAGACAGGTGCTTTGACCAGCTAAGCCACAGCGCCACAACTGCCCATGTAACAGGTATGAAAATTATTATTCGCTTTAAGTATAGAATTACACAAATTATGTATTTTATCTAATGTGTTAGTAAGTGTACCTGAGGTGTTTGTTAGTGTGTGTCTTTGCCTTTAAATTTCTAAGGGAGCTCACGCTGTTTAATTTCCTGTTTTGCGCCCGCCTCTTCCCTTTCTGCACTGACTATGCATGGGAGAGGTGGGTGTCTGCTAAGCTCCAATTAATCTTTAATCATATTTACTTTATAAATAACTTTTAAAGCTAGTTTTCATGTTTAAATAATATTTATACCTTTATTTTTCACATATATTTCATTATTTTTGTGTTATCACTTAAATTGAGGTTTTGATTGACTTTAGCCTAACTGAAACATGTGAATGCTAAATGCATTGCACTTTACTTTTAACAGAAAAGCTGTAAGGGCGAAGACACACTGTAAAAGCTGTGCTTTTTGATTTATTCTCAGGTATGTTTTGTCACTTTGTTAATATTGTTTGGAGTTTTGTTCTATTTCTCTCTCCATCTCTCCCCTTTCTGCACTGACTATGCATGGGAGAGAAAAGCTGTAAGGGCGAAGACAAACTGTAAAAGCTGTGCTTTTTGATTTATTCTCAGTGAGTAAAGAGTTGTCACAACTGCAGATCTCCGACTGGTTATTCCTTAATAAAACAAAGAAAACACAACGCAGAACCGGTTACACCCAACGCTCATCACTCAGCTCTAAAAGAAAAAAAATCTCTAGATCCAATACTTACAAAACACAGACAATACAATAAATTCAAAACAGTCTCATCTAAGACAGTGGGGGAAAAGCAGTATGTACTGTGCTTTCCACTCAGTTACTTTGCACATTCATAAAGAGGCTCTTGTATGACAAATCCAAAAGGTTTGATCTCCTAAATAGGTGGTAGCCACTTTCGCCCAAAACCACAGGTTGTCTTTGAGTCATTCCTCAAGCTTACTCGGCACTGCACCATTTTAAACAGCTCCCTTGAATGAAACAGCTCATTTAAGTCATAAGCGTTTTTGTAGAGTACCCTAGTAGCTGAGAATGCACTGTGCAATGAAAAAAGAAGCATGTGTGAATGTGTGTGTAAACTTGCAATATTGAATTTCAATTTGTTACGCATTACCACACTATGCTATATAAAGTCATCGTTTAAAGCCCTCTTGAGCTGTCAGCGTTCTTAAGGTATTAAGTTTCGTTAAAAAAAACAACTGCTAAACAGTTTGCTGCATAAACTGGTGTAATACAATGTGAGGGTAAACTTTTTTCCATAGATTTTTAAAGTAAAAAAAAATTATAATAATGATAATAAAAGTATTATAGCGTACAGTCCACAGGGAAAATTACTTATTGGTTTTATTAAGGAGTCTCTTGCATGGTTTTTACGACTCCTGGTGCCACAAAGTCTGGTTATCCGTGACACCTTTTGTTATCCAGAGCCACCCAGAGAGATAGGCCGAGAGCTTCCAAGGCATTCCTGCCCAAACACACACACACACAAGGCTGTTACGACAGAAGCAAATGAACTCAGAAACCCTGGACTAGCACAAAACTTTTTTTTTGTTTTGTAAACTTTGTATCTCAGTTCTGACTTTTCTTACCTGTACAACCTCTCTTATAACCCGTATGCCTGGTTCCTTTAGGCCTTTTTAGAGCATAAATAATGTAAGTGTGAGAATTATGTTGATGTACTTTTGATGTACTTTTATTGTTGATTTTACAACACATGATGCATAGAGCATGATAATAACTTACACGTCATGCATTCTTTAATGCCCTGAAATAAAGATCATACTCAGGCTGCAGGCGGACACTCAAATTTGCATATGAGCAGCCTCGAGACAAAGGAAGTTTTTCCGCTCAAACTTTGCCTTGAAATCATTGGTCGAGCATGTTGAGAGGGCAGTGCCACAGAGCTCAAGGTTAAAAGCTGCCCCCTCCCCAGGCTCGTGGCAGAACGTCCGAACAGAACTTTCCAAAGGTTGCCCCTTCTAGGGGTCCAGGCTCTTCTGTGCCTGCGTAAGTCTCCGAGCCCACGTTTTCTTATTTTCCAGCAAAGTATACTCAGTTTAAAGTTGCGATCGCGTTCCTCCAAATTGTATTGCAAACTCCACGCATCAAGAAGGACATCAAAGGAGTTTCATCACGACGGAAAAGACTCGCATAAAGAGAGAGACCCCAGACATTAAAGTCCAGGTATATTTAGTTATGCAAATAAGCTGTGCCCCTTTTATCAAAAAGGTGTTTTGTTTTTATAATCTTAGTGATCCTTAATAGTGCGTGTGGAACTGAAAGTTTTGTCACTCTTTATCTGAAATATCTATTTCCTCGCTTTACTATTTCTCTTTGTTGTTACACGTTCTATAGAGGCGTATAGCTGATCTCCACGTGGTTTACCTTTGTTCTAGATTTTATGTATGTTCGTGCGTTTGTTCGTTATCTGTCTGACTAGTCAATAAATCCCATTATAATCAAATGAATTGTATTGTTTGCCTCACAGAAAAAGTCACTGAAAGACAGATTCCCCTGCCTAGCTGTTATAAGCTGATTAAAACTTATGAACGATTAATCTACTTCACAAGAAGTAGTAATAATTCCCTTTTCTAAATGAATAGATCTTTACCGTGTCCGCTCGGAAGAGTTAACAATAAAAACAAACAAATTAACAATAAATTAATCCAGAATGTTATTGATTAATAATAATTCGTTATTATTGATAATTAATATTCATAATCTGAGAGTCCGCTTGGTCGAGCGGGCAGGATCATATACAATCATATGTTTGTTTGACCAAATTGACCGAAGCCTAAGCCGGAATATTTCACAGTAAAATCTTCAGAGTAAAATGTACTCAGTTCAGAGAACATTTGGTCCCTCTCTAAATTGAGCAAAATTTACTCAGCAGCAGAGTTAAAGTTAATGAGACAATGATGGGGTTAATTAAGTGATGATTGAGCACTGATGATGAACACCTGCTGTTAATAAGCAGAAACAGAAGAGAAGCAGCAGCAGCTTCGCTCATTGGTTACCTGATT